CAACTTTAAGCCCAGGTGTTTCCAGGACGAGGGGAAAAAAAAAAAGAAAGAGATTAAAGGTTTTTTAAAAAAATGTCACAAATGTTTTTTTTTTGAAATGTCAGAAATTGTTCCGGCTTATATCCAAGTGTCTTTGGGTCCGAGAATGAGCTTTTTGCCTGTCCCTGCTCCACACACAAACACACAACACACACACACACAACCCCAACCAAGCGCATATACCCAGAGCCATCCACAAATAAGAGGCGAAGATTTTAGGATGCCGGATTTGATGGTGAACCGAAAAGAAAGGCGAGCGCTTAAAAGGAACACGCAACTCCTACTCTCCAAAGCAGCGAAATATTATCCATCCGGACGGATTGAATCGTTCTTTCTTTCTTTGGAAAAAAAAAAATAGGGGAAGTTAAAACCAGAACTCAAGAGGGTGAATCAAAGCACAAAACAGACCAATCCTTCCTTCCTGAGTGGCAAAAAATGAAAAAAAAATGAAAGGGCTTCTAACGCCCTCTTGGGAATAGAGCCGTGACTACATTTCCCCGAAATTAAAATAAAATAAAAAATAAAAAGGAAAATGAAAACCAAGGGCAGCTTAAAGGAACCACGAGAGTGGATGGATTCCCAGGCAGTCAGGTTCGACTGGTTTCCCCCGATCCGGTTTTGCATTTCCGCAAAAAGCTGGCTTTTCAGCAGACCGGGAAGGAAGGAAGGAAGGAAGGAATCCAGTGGGAAACAAGACAGACCGCTGGAATAAAAAGGATAAAGGAAAAAAGAAAAGAGGAAAACGAAAAGCAGCCCCGCCACTGGAGGCATGCCAACTTTGACGCGGCTGAAAAAAAAACAAAAAAAACCCCGAGCTGGAAAAAGAAAGGATGGAGGATTTGACCTTTTATCTTTTTTATTTTTTGGGGTGGCGGGCGAGCCCCTTTCAAAAGAAATAAAACCAGAAGCGGCAGCGTTTGGGACTGGGTAGAACAAAACAAAAACTGCTCAGAAGAGCTGCAAAAAAAGAGAAACCTTTAGTTATTTCATCACACACACACACACACACACACACACACATAAAAATCGGAGTTTAGCCAAGCACGAAATGTACACCTCGCTCGCTGCTCGCTCTTCTCTTGGATGAAATCCCCTGGGTCGGTGGCTAAGATCGCTGGGGGTGATGGGGGTGGGTGGGTGGGTTGTGTTTCCACCAAGGGGAAACTATGTGCCAGGTTTTGGGGCGGGAGGGGACGGGACGGGCGGAAAGAAAGGGGTGGCAGAGGGGGGGAAACAGGTGGGACCGAGGAAAAGAATTCCTACGTTGTAGTAACTTTGGTGGTTAAGGGCACCGGGCACTGTTGCGGGGCCCCCGCACCAGATACACACACTCTCTCACTTCCTCCTTCCCTCCCTGTCATTCTCCCTCTCCCTCTCTCTCCCTCCCTCTCTCCCTCTCCCTCCTTCTCTCTCTTTCTCTCCCTCTCCCTCTCTCCCTCCTTCTCTCTCCCTCCCTCTCTCCTTCTCTCTCTCCCTCCCTCTCTTTCTCTCTCTCTCCCTCTCTCTCCCTCCCTCTCTCTCTCCCTCTCCCCCTCCCTCTCCTTTCTCTCTCCCTCTCTCTTTCTCTCTCCCTCTCCCTCTCTCCCTCTCTCTCTTTCCCTCTCCCCCTCCTTCTCTCTCTCTCCCTCTCTCCCTCCCTCTCCTTTCTCTCTCTCCCTCTCTCTTTCTCTCTCCTTCTCCCTCTCCTTCTCTCTCTCTCTCCCTCTCTCTTTCTCTCTCCCTCTCCCCCTCCCTCTCCTTCTCTCTCCCTCTTTCTCTCTCCCTCTCTCCTTCTCTCTCTCTCCCTCCCCCTCTCTCTCCCTCTCCCCCCCTCTTTCTCTCTCCCTCCCTCTCTCTCTCTCTCTCTCCCTCTCTCTCTCTCTCTCTCTCTCTCACACACACACACACAATCTAAGCTGACTTTAATGTACTGAAGCACACTCACTCCAGGTTTTTGGAGAAGATCTTGAAATATAGAAGAATAGAATAGAGTACAATAGAATGGAATGGAGAATAGAAGGTAGAATAGGATAGAATAGAAATAGAGTACAGTACAATAGAATGTAGCATAGAAAACAGTAGAATGTAGAATAGAATAGAATGTAGCATAGAAAATAGAGGAGAATGTAGCATAGAATAGAAATAGAATAGAATAAAAAAATAGAATAGAATGTAGAATAGAATAGAACGTAGGATAGAATAGAATGTAGAATGGAATAAATTTATTGGCCAAGTGTGGTTAGACACAGGAGGGATTTTGCCTCTGGTGCATAATGTCAAAGAACGCCAAGCAAATTTTGACACCGCTGCCTCTACACACCCCGCAAAAACCCAGATCCGAGAGGTGCAGTCCGCGGAAGCAAGGGGGGGGAAAAGTGGGTTCATCTCCCCCCCCCCCCCACATACACCCACGAACCTTTATTGCAAAAGCATCAAAGGCTGTGAAATGGGTGGAAAAGGTGGGAGTTAATTTTTTTTTTTTTAAAAAAGAACCTTGCCCTCTGCTAGCACGGAAGGAAGGCGTTTGCCACGGGGCAAGACTTTAAAAAAAAATAATAATCTCAGGGATGAAGGAAGGTGGGGGGGGCAGGAGAGGCGGGATGGCGCAAGTGTGCCCTTCAGTGTGCAAAGTGGCTTTTCCCCCGTGCAACTGAGAGGGTGTGGAATGGCAGAAGACCTAAGGAATTATTGAGAGGGGGGGAGGACGGGGTGGTGGCGGTAGGAAAAGGTTGCCCAAGAGAGCAGAAAACAGCTTCCAGATCAGCCTCTTCTTACCCACCAAGGAAATGGGTCCAGGGAATGGGAAAAGAGAGAGAGAGAGAGAGAGACAGAGAGAGGGAGAGGAGGAGGAGGAGGAGAGAGGGGGGGGGGAAAGGGGGGGGGGGGGGGGGAGAGAGGGAGGGAGAGGAGGAGGAAGAAGAGAGACGGAGGGAGGGAGAGGAGGAAGAGGAGGGAGAGAGAGTGGAAGGGAGGGAGAGAAAGAGAGAGACTGATGCTTGCAATTCCTTCCCCTCCCCTTCCACCAGCAGGGCTTTGAAAAGGGTGGGGGGGAGAGCTTGGGGTGGGGTGAGGGCCTGGGTTTTGCCAGGGGAGGGGGCAGGTTAATGGCAGGCAAGGCTGTGAAAAAGGGGAAAGGAGAAGAACGGGGAGGAGATTCCCGAAAATTCAAAGGGAAAGGAAGAGGATGAACCATACATCCCTTAGCAAGCCGAGCCCCCCCCCCGCCTCAAAGCCCCCCCCTTCTGGGGTTCTCTGGGGACCTACCCTCTCTTTCCTCCCCCCCACCCCTTCTCCACCGTAAAAATACCAGCGCCGATTATCTCCCAACCGGGGAAAGTTTAGGGAGTCCTCAAAATACTTGCAAGGAGGAGAAAGAAAGAAAAAAAAAACAGAAGGGGAAAAACAGCTGATAGAGAGAAACCCCAGCGGCTCCCAACTGGGAACAGAAAGGAAACCCATTCTCCACTCCCGGAGGACCCCCGTTTTCAACCCGGGGAGCCCCACGGGGCGGGGGAGGACGGCTCCCGCCCATCCCTTTCGGCCAGCTGTGCACCATGGGAGTTGCAATCCGCCCCCCCCCCCCCCCCACTAACAGAAAAGGTGCGGAGGGCGAGAGAGAAAGTTGCTTTGGGTTTCGTCGAGAGGGGATTTCTTGGGGGGGGGGGAGGGAAGGGGAGGGGCGGCGCTGCGTCTCCTCCAGCTCCGCGAGGGTCTAGCTGGGGGGCCCAGCTGTTTCTCCAACCGCCCCCCCCTTCTCCAAGCGGATGTATTGTAACTCTCCATCCTTCCCCCTTTCTGCCAACCCAATGCAGACAAACTAATAAAATGGAATAAATCTTAGCGGGTTTAAATGCAACCCTGCCCCCCGTTTTTATATATATATATATAAAATCTCTCTCTCTCCACCCCTCCAGGCATCCAGACGGGTGTGTGTGTGTGTGTTTTGGGGGGTATCCAATTTATGCAAGGGGGCCCCGCTAGCCAGATCCTTTGCACGTTGCCCGCTCCACCCCTCCCCCAGATATTTCACTGCACCCCCAGATTTTTAGAGTTGTCCCAGGTTCGAGGCAAGCAGCCCCTTCTCCTCCCTCTCCTGGGGCCACCAACTCCTCCCCAACTCCGGAGGCGCCCATACCGACCCTCTCCACCATCCAGCTCCCTCTCCCCCCCCTCAACAACACAGCCGCCCCCCCCCACTTCCAGCCCCGGTTCCAACGGCAAAAGATCGACACCCCCGCCCCTCATACAAACACACAACCAGCCGCGAAAAGCAAGAATATATCCAAGCTGCTACCTCCGGCTGCTCCAATGCAAACCCCCCACCCCCCCGCGCGCGCACACACACACACACACAGAGAAATCCAGCGCTTTGCAACCTGCCTCTCCTCCCTCCCAGCTGCTTCAGGTTGCAACCGCGGCGCCTCTTCGGCGAGACCCCCGAAACCGCCCCCTCCCCGTGCATGCATCCGTGCATGCATCCATGCATGCATGCACGCATCCTTTCGCCTCCTCCCCCCCCCCACAGCCTTCTCCACGTTGAACCCCGAAAAGAGAGGCCTCCCTCCGCCCTTAGCAAGGCAAGGCGATTTAAGAGCGAGTAAAGGAGGGGAGGAGGGGGGACAACCAGGTGGGAAGCGCTACGACCCCACCTCCAGCACCACCAAACCCATCATCCCCCACCCCAGCGCTTCTCCTCCTCCTCCTCCCCACCGACCCATTTCGCCCCTCCCCATCGCGACACAATTGTAAAAAATTAAAAATAGGGTGGGGGAGAGAAGGAACAGCAAAAAAAGGGATCGCGGATCTCCCAGCGATCGCCTCCCCGTCTTTTCTCCAGCGATCTTGCAAGGGGTGGGGTGGCGGGGTGGGAGAGCCGCCTCCCTCCCGAGATTAAAACCCCCCCCCCACATACACACACACCTTTTATTTTATTTTTATTTTTTGCAAGCCGCCTCCCGCCTCCCCGGAAGCCTCCGCCTTACCTGCTCTCTCTGGCCGCTCGCGCCGCCCGGGCTCACATCCTCGGCCGGGTGGGAGAAAAGCGCATGAAGAGAAGCCCGATCCGCGCAGCGTGTTTCCTCCTTTTCCCACCCACCGCTTTTCCCTCCCTCCCCCTCCCCCCCGCGCGCTCCAGGACCGACTTGGGGGCTCCCTTCCCGGCCCTCCCCCCACCCCCCAAAAAAAGGATGCTCTTTGCAAACGCCGGAGGCGGGGAGGGGCGGGGGGGACACTGCGGCTCGCGCTCCCGCCCGGACACCAGCGGCCACCCTCGCAGGTGATGTCATTCCCCGAGCCTCCGCCGGCTGACGTCACCCGGGAGGCGTGACCCGCGATCTGCCGCCCCCCCCCCGCCTCCCCCGCTCCTGTCCTCCCCGCTCGCGCGCGCACACACGCGCACACACACAAAAGGAGAAGGGGGCGAGGGGCGGGGCCGCGGCCGGAGCCCGAGAATGAAGGCGGTGACGTCACCGGCCCCGGGCGTGTCGGAGTGGGAAGAAAAAAAAGGAGGAGGAGGAGCCGGAGGGCGCGCGGAAGAGCCAATCTGGAGAGAGGAAGGTGTGAAAATGCAAATGAAGGGGGCGGGGACGGGGGGGGAGGCAGAGGGCGAGGCTCGCACGTGGGGCCCGCGCGGCGTCGAAATGTTGGCGCGAGGAGCGTCGATCGGGCAAGCCGAGTTTGTATTGGGGGAGGAAGAGCTTACATTAAGCCAGGATGGGGAGGGGTTTGGGGGGGGGGGGGGGGGGCTTCCTTAAGGCCGCCATAGGAGCCTGATGGTTGAAATCTGTAAGGTCCTCTTCAGCCTGTGTGGTCCAGGCTGAATAAATATAATCACCCTAATTGATCCAGCAGCTTTGGGGTGTGAATGTGATGGCAGAAACTGTCATTCATGGTTTACTGTAGAGATCCCGCCGTTGGGGCTTGGGGGTTTAGAAAGCATGTTTGTGTGGGGGTTTTTTTTGCATTAAATGGAGCTGGTTGTGTGGTGTAATCCCAGATTACTCAGCTACTCCTCGGTTTAGGACCACCAAAATGTATGTTGCTAAGCGAGACCTTAAGTGATCTTTGTCCCATTTTACGACCTTCCTTGCCACGGCTGTTAAGGGAATCACTGCAGTTGTTAAATTAGCCACCCGGTTGTTAAGTGAATCTGGCTTCCCCAAGGTCGCAAAAGGGGATCATGTGACCCCGGAAACACTTGCCGCCAGTCATAAATAGGAGTCAGTTGCCAAGCATCTGAATTTTGATCGCGTGACCTTGGGAATGGCTGCAGTAGTCATTACGTCTGAACAACGGTCATACATCACTTTTTTCAGTGCCGTGGTAACTTTGAATGGTCACTGAACGATCCAGATTGGATCCTGCAACATTATTCTTGGATCTGTTTATTCATCTTCGTTCGTACTAAGCAAAGTGTTATAAATCAAGGACTACTTGTAACTGCAGAATGCACACCTCCAACCTGGGGAGGGAGCCAGATTAAGCTATTATTTGATGGGATGAAACCCTAATCGTCCAGATTCGATGCAGCTACGCTCCATCCACCACGCTAGGAATACTATGACTAAATTTGCAGACGATACAACGGTGGTGGGACTCATCTCCGGGGCGGATGCGTCTGCCTATCGAGATGAGGTAGACGGGTTGCTTTTGTGGCGTGGAGACCATAACTTGGTCCTCAACACCAATAAGGCCAAGGAGCTTATAGTGGACTATAGAAGGAAGAGATCAGACATCCAGTCCTTGCTTCTCAAGGGAGACCGAACGGAGCAAGTAGCCAGTTTTAAGTTTCTGGGTGTTACCATAAAAGAGGACGTTACCCAGAGGTGGAATGCAGCCGGTTCTAACCAGTTCTGGAGAACTGGTAGAAATTTTTTGAGTAGTTCGGAGAACTGGCAAATTCCACTTCTGATTAGCCCCGTCCCCATCTCTTCTCCGCCTCCCATTGAGTCCCAGCTGATTGGCTGGGTCTCCTTTGGTTGCCCTGCACAGGAGAACGGAGCTGGAAAGCAGGTTATTGGGGTGGGGAGGGAAGGGGGATTTTGCAGTATATCCTTCACCTGCCACGCCCAGCAAGCCACACCACACCCACCAAGCCACGCCCACAGAACCGGTATTAAAATAACTTGAATACGACCACTGATGGGATCTGGGGTGCTCACTTTGCAGCCCTGGTCAAAAGGGCCCAGCAGAGATTATTGTACTTGAGACTTCTCAGGAAACAACAACTGAATGGAAAACTGCTGGTGACCTTCTACCGCTGCACCATAGAGAGTATCTTAACTTACTGCACCTACGTATGTTTTGCCAATTGCACAGTGGCAGATAGGACAGCACTTCTGAGGGTTAAAGTCATTGCCCAGAGGATCATGGGTTGCCCTCTCCCCTCTTTGGAAGAGCTTTATAGCTCCTGCTTCCTTACGAAAGTTCAAAACATCCTTAAAGATCCATCTCATCCTGGGCACCCTTTTTTTTTTTTGGAACTATTACCATCTGGCAGACGGTACGGAGCAATAAAAACAAGGACAAATAGGCTGAAAAACAGCTTCTATCCCAGGGCTCTGTTGAATTCTACTGTATATAATGCAATATTAATGCAATATCAGGGGTTTTCAATTCAATGTATATATTGTGAAGGATGTGTTTATTTTCATAGCCATAATGTACACTGAAGATGGTATTTAATTCTATTGTACGAGGTGCAATGACAATAAACTAAACTAAACTTTCCAAGCCACAAGGGAGGAGTCTTTACAATAAGCCATCAATCATAGTCAAACCTACTCATCCCACAAAGGTGGTGGACCAACTACAGTGAGTTGATATCTTTTTAATAATGTGGAGAAGGCAAATAATTCTCTAGGACTCTTCCTTGTGGGAGGTGGGGACCACAAAGTGGAAGGAACAAAAGTTAAACCACGAATGTTAGGCAGATCTTAAGAGGGATTCTACAGATCTGATCATGAGGGAGGAATTCAAGTGACCAAAAAACCAGGGTTATCTGGTTATGTGTGTGTCCCCATAGGAATCTTTTTTCTAACTCAGTCTTTGTAGGTTGTCCTTGAATTTTGCTGTAATCTTGAAGAGAATGCTGACATCCCTAAAAAACGACGTTATTAATCATTAAAAAAATAATATTTGAAATATTTATATCCTGCCCTTCAATAGAAGGGCAACTAAGAAGAAACAATTAACGTGGGTGCATGGTGAATGGGCTCCCTGGTTCTTCCTCTTGGTATTTTACTCGGGAGTAAATGTTCAGAGTGCTTATAAGATTGACAAGAAACAATCTGTGTAAGAAAATGCACTATTATTATAATCCTTGTTGTATAAGTAACTCAAGGTGGTGAACATCATTAACGCTGCTTTCTCCTCTTATTTTCCCCACAACAACCCTGTGAGGTGGTTGGGCTGAGAGGGAGGGACCAACCCTAACTCACCTAGCTGTCTTTTGGCACTAGAACTCGCCGTCTCCTGGTGACTGGCGTTGTCATCTGGCAGGCTTTCATACCTAAAGGAAAGACTAGAACTCACCGTCTCCTGGTGACTGGCATAAAGTCATCCAGATGGCTTTTGGGCCTAAGACGGGACTAGAACTCACTGTCTCCTGGTGATTGGCAAAAGTCACCCAGCAAGGCAGGACTAGAACTCACTTGAATTTTCTGTTTCTTTTTTTCCCCTCCCTGTAAACAATTTAATGTTCCCCCTTGCATCTTACCAGGAGCCCCATTTAAAAAAGAAGTCAACCAACCAGGAACCCCTCTAGAGAAAATTGCCCAAGGTGGTGGAGGCGCCTAAATCCAAATTCAAGAGGAAAATGTGAGTTTGGGAGTTTGGGGCGGCGTAATCATATTTTATATAGCACGAGCGAGTAAGTATTTTGTAGTTAAGGGCTATAGTTGGCATTTTTAGTGGCCAAAGGCAAGGTTGAAGAAAGAAAAGGAAAGAAAGAAAAAAGAAAAGAAAGAGGGGAAAAAAGGAAGGAAGGAAGAAAAGAAGGAAGGGAAAGAAAGAAGAAAAAAGAGGAAGAAAAGAGGTAAAGGAGAGAGGGAAGGAAGGAAATAAAAAAGGAACAAAGAAAAAAGAGAAAGAGTGGGAGAAGGAAATGAGAGAAAGACACAAAAAAAATGGAAAGGAAGGAAGGGAGTGAAAGAAAAAGAAAAGGAGAGAGAAAAAACAAAACAGGAAAGAAAAACAAGGAAAGAAAGAAAAAGGAGGGAAGGAAGAAAAAGGAAAGAAAAAGGAGAGCAAAAAGAAAGGAAGACCAGGACGAGAACTGAATTGGGTGTAATTTAATTTATGCTGAAAGCTTAATTAAATGCAACTGATTAAATACAGTTAATTGTTCCTCCCGTGTCTTTGTTAGTTTCAGTCACATTTCTGTTTATAAATTGATGGCAATTTTGGGAAAGATTGATTATGCCTTGCAGCAGTATCGGAGCTGCAACCTGCTTAGCAGCTAGTTCTGGATTTACAACCATTCATTTGCCGACTGCTTGAAGTTACAACAACACTGACAAAAACGACTTCTGGCCAGTCCTCGTACTTATGACCATCACGGTCATGGGATCAAAATTTGGATGCTTGGTTGTTGGGCATGATTCCAGGAAATTACAATAAGGGTAACACATACTTCTACACATCATAACAGCAGCTAGGATTGCATACATGCACAATGTTGGAGAAATCCCTGCAGATGATATTATCATCAAAAAATATTCTGGAATGTGCAGAGATGGATAGGTGAACTCTAAAAATTAAAGGAAAAGAAGATTCGGACTACTTCATAGCATGGGAACTATTCTATAAGTGGTTAAATGACAGGTATGGAGGTTAGAGGAGTGGAATTAGGTGAAACATGGTTTCTAGGAGAAAGGAAAACAGATGAGTAAATATGTCTGACAGTTATATAATCGATACTATAATGGAAGATAATATATGTTATAATATGGTTGATGTTACCATATTTGTTTATATATTACTGCATATTTGTTTATATTTGATCATAATGAAGATGATGATGTTTTGTATGTTTGTATGTTAACACCTTGGACGCCTAGAG